AATAGAAGATATTATTTATTATTATTGTGAGGGCACAGGAATGCACAAATTCACCCCCAGGGGACAGAGACAGTTAAGAACACTTGTTTCAGTGTTGGATGCAGAAATAGTTCACAATGTGAGGCAGAGAACAGCTCTAGTGACAAATATCCTGTATGAGCAAGAAGGAGAGATCAGTGGACAAAATCTATCACACCCACTGCTCATCTTTTACAAGTTTAAACTGATCTTGGCTCCTTTCCTCATCACTGGAGGTTAGCAGACACCTCTGGGATGACTGACATGCCCTTCTTCCTCTAAGGAAGAATCACAAGCTCAGGACAGCTGGCAGACAAGAGAGGAAACCTTCCTGAGTGGCTTAGCCCAGGCACCAAGCACTGAGACAGCTGGAGAGAGGTGGCAGGACTTTGGCCCTAGAAAGGGGACAGAAACCCAACAATGACTGAGATCCCCTGAGCAAGGAAATACAAATGAAATACATACCAGAGGAGATTCAAAGGGAGCAGGGATAAATGAGAAAATCCTAAAAATCTGAGAAAATAATAAAGAGAAAACTAGGAGCAGCAGTACAAACAGTCATTGTTTTCCTCTAAAATTTGCAGGTCTGGTCACATATCTGTATATTAATTGTGAATTTTCCAGCAAGAAATATGAGCAGATTAAGATTGAATAGGATCAAATCAAAAGCACCTAAACAAATTAAGTATTCTCCTCTAAGTGACTTCCTTCCAACCTTCCAAACCAAACCATGCTGAGCTGTCACCCTGCAGGTTGTATTTTATTTCATAATCAGTCAGGAAACAGAATTTCTCCCAGAAAGAAGAACTAAAGAGACACATACCCAGTTCTCTGCAGAGAGGAATCTGCCTGTACCAAGTCCGTCCTTCCCCCGCCGTGGCTGGGACAGTGTGAGATGGGCTGGAGGGAGCCAGGGGTGCTGAGTGGTGCTGGCAGTGACACCCCAGGGCTGACACCAAGCCCACCTCCCCTTGCCACAGGCTGCCAGCACTATGGGTGCTGCATCGTGACCTCACAGCTCCCCTAACACAATTAAGTGCCTAAAGGGCCTTCTGGGCAGAGCCCCTGCTGCTGACAGCAGTGACGAGCAAACACTGCCTTTGCCTAAAAAGACACGTGCTCTTTTCCAATTAAAAGAGTCTTGAAGTCTGTTTCCTTTCACTGTTTATTTGACAGCCCTGTGAAAAGTGAATGTGCTCAGCTCTCAGTGTGCTGAGCACAAGAACTGGAGGACAGAGCAGAGCATGGCCATGGCTTGACCCCACTTCAGCAGCTCTCTGCCTGGAAGCAGTGAGGAGAGTGAGCAGTTATAGTTCAACTCTTCTTCATTGAGTGAAAAATTCACCTTAACTTTACCTCATTCTTCTTCAGAAGAAGTCCAGAAAAGGGTTAGGGTGATGCAATCTGCCTCTGCCCAGCCCCTGGCAAAGACAATACCAACCAAACACTCTTTTTCCTGTGCCAAGAGTCAGGGAGCTCAAGTATCAAGTGACGGCTCACACAACAGCACTGGAGCTGATGGTCCTTCTGATGGAAGAATATACTCTGCATTTCTCTACACTTCTAATCCCTGGACTTTCTTTAATCTGCTCTTACAACTGTTTTGAAGTGACAGCAATCACCATAGACTATTCAGAATGGATTTATGTGGGACACAATACTATTCTTGGTCCCTTTCCCAGCCTTCTGTCTGCCTTTCTAACTGCTGAGCATGAAGCAGATGTTTTGGAGGCATGAGTGCAGCTCACCAGCATAGAGACACACATCCCAGAGCCAACAGAGCAACACTGTGCTTGAGAAAAACATTTTGGAAAATCCTGCTCCTTATAGCTCTCTGCCAAGACAGCCTCTCCAGGCTGCCCCAGGAGTGTGTGCTACATCCACAGCAGAGCCAAGGTCTCAGTAATTCCTGATGCTGTGTGTAGAATACACCATTCAGCTTAGCTTCTCCTTAACTACTCCCATTCTTTGTAACTGATATTAATCCTAGCAACTACCCCTAACAAAACCCTGGTTTCTTCCCAGTTTTTGCCTGTTATTTGACAAAACCCTACAGAGAGGGAGTCCTGAACTTGTACCCATTAATTACACTGTCCATTCAGCGTAAACTGTACCACTGATGCAGGATGAGTCCTAGAAATGCCTAAACACAGGGATGATGGAAGGAGTCAGATAAGAAAAGGTACCTGCAACCTAGGCTGGCACCGGTAAGTCAAGGCTTTATGCCACAATCACTACAAGGTGCAGGGTCACACTTCGATGAAGCAGCTCAGAGGTACAAATGAAATTGATGGGGCATTTCTAGGACAACATCTCAGTATTTGTAGAATTGTGAAGGTATGGTTTAGATTGCACTGAACTGCACTCATCCCACCGAATTCCTTTCTGTTGGCTGCTGCTGGGATTTGGGTTAGCCAGCTAAGACAGATGACATACAAGTCATTTAAGGGCTGAGGTGCCTCCTAACGAAGTGGATTTTGCAGTGTGCTGTACTGGGAGGTGTGACACAGGGACCTCAGCCTGGCACTGAGCACCCTCCCTGGGCATTGGAAGGTGTCCCAAGCATAGCAGTGCTTGCAGTGCTGCTCAGGGAGAATTGTGCTGTGTCCCAGGGGTCACAGCAGCTCAGGTGTCTGCACTACAGAGACACAACACTGACTGCTGGAATACCACAGGCTGGACAGACCTAAGCCTGCAGACACATCATGGCAAGACACCTGAGAAAACCTCTGCTAGAAGTTCTTGCATATCTGTCATGCTGTTACTAATTTTATCCCAAGCATGATCTCTTTGCCTTGAAGTCAGAAATGCCTTCCATTGTGGAGTTAATTCACAATCTTAACAACACTAGAAGGCAGGTTTTTGTGGTCAAATATATTGCCACATTAATAATTTCAGAATATTACATGAAGCACAAAAAGAAAAGAAGTGAATAAATTAACAGAAGAAGCTTGCATGGCTCACTAGAGAATTAAAGTGCCATTTTATTACACACACCTCAGAGTTAAAGTTTTAATTTTCTTTTAAAAGATCTCAATATATAACTTTCATCCTCCATATTCAAAAACACTTAGAGAGGATGATTTGTTCTTTTGTTGTAATCCACAGGACAAATAAAGTTATAGTCAAGTGATGCTGATCTCTGCAATTTCCGTGTGATAACAGAATTGTTCTTATTTTTTGTATTCATTATTGCTCTAATAAGGAACTTTTCTCCAAAGATCCTGATATTCTTTAAATACAAATGAATGAGTCTTTCCCAATCCCTTGTGAACTGCTCTGCAGTCTTGTTTTACAAACAGATTAAAAAGAAGGACACTGACTTATTTCCTCAGGAACTGACTGAAACAGTTCCTAGTTAGTGATTTGGCTCAGGTCAAACCTCCAGCTCTAAGTAGGAGGCAGTTCCAAGAATTATTCCCAGTCCCCTGCTTGGGACAAGCCTCCCTGTCCAGATGCATGGCTGCATACATTCTTACAGTACAGACACAGCAAGAACTGCCACTTGTGGGTTTCACTTGCTCTGCTGAGCCGGCATTGAGGAGCTTTTAAAAGTGGAAAGGCATTCAGAGGCATCTTTTTCTTTTACAAGCTGCAGACATTTGCCTCTTAGCGAAGAAGGTCATCAACCAGGCAGAGAGATCTCTGTGAATATCACTGCAGCAGTTTCCAAATGGCTCCTGGGTGCAGCAGCTCTCCTCACTGCCTTATATTGCAGACCAGCAGAGTTATATTTGGAGACAGATATCAGGATTATGTTCCCAAGAGCCTCTGATAGAGTAAGTTCAGAGTGTGTTGTCATGATGGACATGCACACATGTGCCCTAGCAGAGTAGAGGTCAGCCATCATTCATGAATATGTGGAGACCACTTACAGTCCAGTTACAGCATATGCTAGTAACACGTGTTCCCCACACACCCTGTTTTCTCCCCAGTAAGCTGCTATATTTTTAATGTCTCCATTAGCTTTTGGAACAACTGACAGCTTTAAGTTTTCCCTGCAGTGAGCTCCAACGTGGAAACATCATGCAGCTTTCAATCACAAGCCAAATGGCTCAAGATTTTAAGAGGAGATTCCAATTCCAGAATAGGAAGGCTGCCCAGCCAACCCTTCACCTTTAATATAATTATTCTTTATTCATGACCAACCATAAATGCACCTGGTTCCTGCAGTACTATTTGTCTTCGGAAATGCTCTTGCTGAAATTGCAGGTGAGTGTCTGCGATTCTCTCTTTAGAGTGCCTGTACCTAAGGCAAGGTTCCTGGCCCTCCTGCTTCTATGGGGAGACAGAAGATTCAGTATTTAATGCAGCAACACCAACTTATGCCCAAAACATATCAATTTTTGTGTTTGTTTCAGCACAAGAAATTATTCTTTCATTTAAAGGGAGAAAAGTGCCATTAAATGGTTTCTACATAAGGCTGTCAGTCCTCAATGCCTCTCAAAACCACGAGTTATGTTCAGCTGCTAAAGAAAAATCTAGCTGGTGGTGCACAGATTCAAAATGGCAAGCAAATAGAAATACTATAAAGCATCTGCTCTCCTGAAGTCTTGCCTCTTCACGAGATGTTGTCAGCCCCACCAGCAATGAAAAACGTGTTTGGTATGAGATAAAATGATGTTTCTCTAAGTGCCATGTGATTTAGTCTGGGAGCAGTAAATTAACCAAGGCTCTTAATTCAAACATCACTGAAAAATGTACATTTTGCTATCAAAAGTTGGCTCAGTTTTAGTGGAAATTTCCAGATATGGAGAGGCATGAAGCTGTCCCCTCAGGTGGTTCATTTTTTGCAGAGATACAAGGAATAGAAAGAGGTAAAATCACACTTCTATCACTGAAGGAAGCACTCTTTGAACAGCAATTTATTTCAATTTAGAAAACTATTCTGTTCAAGCAGATCCATCCCTTGGTATAATCCCTTTGGTTTGAGCTTTACAGCAATACTTTGACCAAGGGGCTGCTGGCTGAAGAAAGAGCAGAGCAGGTCACTGAAGCTGCAATTACACATGCTGCGCTGACTGCTGCCAAGGCGGTGAGGGTGTTAGTGCCCAGCAGTTTTCTGGCTTAACCTTAATGCCCATCTCCCTTCTCTGGATCTTGCTGGCCTCTTTGGATGCCTCAGGTGTGACTCTGAAGAAATAGAACAGACTGAAAGTCCTCTTGATAAGAACCTAAACTAAAGTTCATCTTTCTGGCAGAGCTGAGTTAGGAAGAAACCACACATAATTATGTTGGCAGCCAAGGGAAGACAATAAGCCCCTGGAAACCAAGTAAGGGAGATATTTGTGTGGTAAGCTGTGGTTAGCTGGCAGTGATAAGAGATCTTACTAATTTTAATCTTAAGTAACAGTTGCATTTAGAGTAAGAAGTGCATTTAAACTGCTCATTTACCTGCTGTGGTACTGTCAATTGCAACAAAACACTAAAGGCAACTCTGGTGACATGAAACCTCAGGGAAATTATCTCCCAGTTGTTGTTATATTCCTTTCTTGAAGATGTCCTTCCCAACTTGGGCACAGCCCAGCCAGAAGCTGTGCTCCCTATATCCTCCACAATGCCACACATTCCTGAGGGTGCAGGCTGTATCACCCTGTCACACTGTCAGGATATGATTCTGATTGTGTTTTCAGTTCAATCTTACCTCCACTTTTTGCAGATGAGCAAAGAGATAGCATCCCTCATTTCCCTGGCTGCTCCTCTACCCCATCTACTCTGGTGATTTCTGAAGGGATAACACATCCTCTTGTTTTCTCTACATGGGAGCAAATAAGTTAGTTATCAACAACTTTTCAGCAGAAGCACTTTGGACAAACACCTGTCAGCTTGACAAAGTGATTTGCAGGTTATACTCCCATTCAACAAATGAATAAAAATATGAAGAAAACCAGCACAACAGCAATAGCAAAATCAGCTCTCTGATATGAATATTCAAGAAACTGCTGCTGCAGACAAATGTGCCAAGGGCCATGAGTCCCATAAGTCAGGATACCCACACACTAAAAGTCTCTATTCAGGCAGCTAGGCATGCAGAAAAAGACATGGTATTTAAACACAGAGGTGGAGGTGGAGATTTTTATTTTTACAGTTCTACACAGCTGGAGCAACCTTGGGACCCCTGAGTGAAGTCTTGACCATCAGTATCCAGCCTTTCTCCTGGTTGATTCTCCCAACATGAGCAGCAGCCAGAGACCTTGATGATACAATTGCTTTCCTGCATTTACTTTATTGCTGTAGGTTTCAAGAAAATCTACAGAACCACAAATGCTTGACTTAAGGAGAGAATTGTGAGCTTAGCTCCCATGTGGCTTGATGAATTCCTAAAGAAAAGTGCTCTGTGAGGACAGCCCTCTTGGAGAAGGGGCAGGTTAGGGTCATGCAGGAGGAAACGCTGCAGGGGCTCCAGGGGAGGCACCTCCAGCTCTCCACTACATGGGTCATGGGGATGGTGCTCTGCAATCAAGTCACTTGTTCCTCTCTTGAACTTAGACCCTGCAGGCAACAACAGAGCCAGCAATCACACAGCTTTTCTAGATCTTCATGGGCACACTCCAAAGTCCTATTTTCAAAAACAATGTGAGCACTTATGAGAGTAAGTCCCAATGAAATTACTTTTTGCAAGTGGTGCTGAATCTATTTTGCACTTTCACAGTTGTATCTTGACCTGCCTTGTGCAGTATAGCTGGCAAATCCTTTTATCCAGCTGCTGACAGCTTCTCAGCAGAGCACAGCTCTTCAGGCTCCTAGAAAGCATCCATTTCTAAACAGGTAAAAGCCAAAACTGACCAGATTTTGTGACAGCAACAGACCAGCTCTGAGGAGGAATTTAAGCAAGAAATTCTGAGCTTTCTTGAAACCAACTTTTTCATTATTTCTATGGCTTAGAAAGAAGAAGGTGCTGTCAAGATTCCATGTCAGTCCTTCAGAGAGTCTAGTCTTCTCTAGGATCCTTCAACAGGAAGATATCCAGAATATCTACAGTCCAATTTATTTAAGGCTTCACAAGTCACAGTGAGTCCAGGAGGTGAAACACACCAGGGGGTTTCTGCTCTCCTCTAAATCTTCACTCTTGGGGATTTCAGAGGGAAATGTGAGATGCATCTAGTCCATTGTGATAGGAGAAGACTTTGAGGTAGGCAGTCTTCAGACCTACACTGGGAAGGGCAGGGTGTGCCCTTCTCCTGAGGGGAAAATAAAGAGAGAAAGCAGGCATTTTTGGTGAAGACTGACAGATTAGACATTTCTGCTCTAATACTAAGGAGTTCAAGAGAGATTTTATGTATGCTCAAAGGAACGAACAAATCTTTGTAAATGCTGTTAGACTGTAAATAAAAGAATGAAATATTAATAATTGTTTCCATCAAACTCTAGGAGAAATCTATCTTTGCATTATTTGGATAAGGCTCTGTCACTAGTTCAGCCTTGCCATTTTTAGATATTATTAGAGTTTTATAGCAGGTCTGAAATTCTATGCCAGTGAGACTGAGATTTTAATGCATATTAATGGCAGAAATGGGGGAGGGGAAAGGAAGTTGGTGTGATTCCCTTATAGAGTACAATACTAAATAAGAAGATTCCAGCTGTGCAACAGGAAAGTTAAAATGGTTTGTTTGGATCATTAATATTGCAATGAAAACTAATTAAACCTAGAGCTACAAGGAGGAGCTCATTAGAGATTTGAATAGAGGCAGCATAACACTCAGCAGCCTCCAGTTTTAGCAGTTTCTTTTATCACACCAAGTGGGATAGCAAGAGCTCACTGAAGAGACGAGGATAGTCTGAAGAGCCAAGGGGATATGGATGCCCAGTCCATGGGATCAACTGCAAGAGTACCTGATTGCTACAGGGCTTTGGAAAATGCTGCATGATCTTTGTATCTCTGTAGAATGAGCCAAGACCTTTTATTGGCTCTCTGCTCAGACTAACATTGCTGCTATGCTATATCTCTGTCCCCTTGTCTGACCTGACATCTGAAACTTCATCTAAAATTTCCTTAGCCTAAGAGCCCTCAAATATGCTTTACAAAATATACCTACTCGTTTAGCATCAGTCCCTACATGCCCACCCCCAGACAAGGCACTTCATAGTCTGTAGTTTAAGCATGACTCTCAGTTTTACATTTCCTTTCTCCTTTAACATGTCATGCCACTTTTGCTGTAGCCAAAGGTGTTCCTGCCCCTTTTCTGTGGCCATCAGCATCCTCCTGCAGCTATTTAAGTCTTCTCACTTCTGATGCTGTCATTCGCTCCCTCCCCCATGGCCTCCCTACATCCCTACCCCCTCAAATCCTGCTCCCAGCTTCACACGGAAGCCAGGGACTATACTAACCTCTTCCACGACATCTGTCTCAGAAGTGAATAATGATCAGACTGGGCTTCCTAAGTCTTGCAACCTTGCAAATTCAAGTAAATACTGAAGCCCCAACTAAGCTGTTAATTATCCATGGTAAGTGCTGGTAAAAGTGCTTGTATTTCACTCCAGTAGAGGCTGCCAGGGTGGAGGAATCACCTGCTAATGCTGATCATAAAGGACTTCATGGGGGAGAGTCCTGAAAGAAAACAGGCACCTTGTAATTTTACTGATGTTGTTTAAACCTTGCTGGATTGGGGTCCTACTGGTGACTTGAGAAATTTAGAAATCCTTCAGTCACAGAAAAAACCAGAATAAGATACTAAAGCAGTGACACACTAAACTGTACACATGTAACTCAGACTAGAATTTTTCCTACATGATTTAGACAATCAAATTCCAAAGGAACATGATATGTGAGGCACTGGAACTGGTGAGGCACTGCAAGAAGCTGCCCAGAGAAGTTGGGGGTACCCCACCCCTGCAAGTGTTCAGGGCTGGTTTGGGCTCTGAGGAACATGGTCTAGTGAAAAGTGCCTCTGCCCATGACAGAGAGGTTGAAACTAGATGATCTCTAAGGTTCTTTTCAACCCAAACCATTCTATGATGCTAGCAAATTAACCCCTCCCTCCCTTAATCAAAGTGTCAGACCATGTGAACATGTGGATCACTGAAAAATCTTCCATTTTCAACTCAGAAATTTCCTAGCACTACAGCAGGTTCTTGCTCAGGTTCTTCTCAGTTTTGTCCTACTTTGGGCACCAGGGAAATAAATTTTGAACAAAACCTTCTGCTGCATCTGCATTCACTTCTAGATGATAGTACAGCAAAAGGACTGGACTGAGAAAGGCAAAAGCTCAAAAAAGTAGAAAACAGACAATTAATACTGAAGATCCCAAGAGATGAGAATGGATCCAAGCAAGTCAGGAGGACATCAGTTCCAGCCCAGCCTGCATTTCCAGGCAGGTGTTATCAAGGCATGACTTCCTTAGACAGCCAAGAAGAAGAAAATAATGGAACAATGCTGTAAAAATTAATCGCTGGACATGAAATATGTCCAGAGGTATAGGACATGTCTTGTCATTGGAAATGTCTAGGCAAACCCAGAGCTGTGAGCTATAGGCAGAAACAGCCCCACAGGCTGCAGCAGTGGCACCATGCAAAGACCACTCTCCCTGGCATCCCAGTAGTGGATGGTGGCATTTAAGGATACTCATCACCAAAAGGAGATGGTTTTGATTTTCTGCAGCCAAAACAGGGACATGTAGATGCAGTCTCTTCATCACTCCTCATTCTGCAAACCCTTGCTTAGCTGAACCCATAAAGAGCCTTGGTGTACATGGGCCAGGCTCAGGTGTCAGCAAGACCACAGAGAAAATAAGAGCCCAAGAGGGGCAGAACTGCACTTCATATTTCACTTGAACACAGGAGTCCCAGCCTAAGCTATATCCATGTACACTGGATTTATACAAACCCTGCAAAATTCACACCAGGAGATCAGGGGTAATGTTATGTGTGCTGTTTCCATCTCTTCCCTGGGGGAGAAATAGATGAGTTTGTCATGATGTCACTTGTTCCTCTTTAATAGCAATCCTGAGAACCTACATTCCACTTTCTATTTTACCCTCCCTGATGTTCCCCCACCAACCAAAGCCCTCAACAGCATGGTTTTGGAATGACAAATATCTTCACAGGCTTGAGTGACTGCAGTAACCTCACATTCCCTTTCCTGGTGCAGCTTGCATATCACAAATACACATAGTTCGAAGTCAGCCCTTGAATACTTCACATGCTGGTTCTGCTGCTTCCCCCTGTGGCATCAACACCTTCAAGCAACCCCATGTTGCCCCTGGCCTGGTTCATCTGATATGCTTTAGACTGATAAACAAGGACAGTGACAAACAAAAGGGAAGGAAATCAAGAAATATGTTATGGCCGAGGTCTTGCTTTCTACAGAGCAATGAAGGCCACATTTACGTAAGCTGCCAATCAGCAATCACCTCACATTGTTGTCCACCATCTAAAGCTTTTAAGGATATCTTCAAATTAATCTACTTCACTAAGGGCTCTGTGTGAGGGGAAGCAGAGGTGCAGGAGTCTGCAAGCTCAATAGAGATAGACAGTGCAGGGGAATGGCATCTACCAGAACTTGTGGTGCTGCAAGGATTCAGTGAGAAAGGCAGTCTTGTTTCAGATCCTCCCATAAGATTAATTTGGGCTGTGATGCAGGCAGACGTTAGGACACAGTAAAAGCTGAATGCCTTGGCTGTCACTTGATCAGGCATAGTGATGATTTTACTAGCAAAGTGCCTCTGCACTGAGATGCTGTTTCTGCTAACTGCCTATCATTAACACTACCCTCATAGGAAAGACTTCAGGCCTCATCCATCAGAAAGATAACACAGG